CACAACATTAGCTGCTGCGCTCTCCCCGGGGGAGGGGGCGGGCACATGCGCTCACGTGACCCAAAGAAAGGATCGGCCGAACGGACAGTGTACCGGCTGATACCGATACAAGAAAAAAACGCAAATATCGGCCAAAAATATCGGCCGGCCGATGTGTCGGTCGACCCCTAGTTTAAACTGATGGTTCTATCAACCAGTCAAAGATCAGATTAGAACCCAATCAGATCAGATCAGAGCGGGTCGGGTCGTGCTGTCTGACCGACAGCTGGTGTGAGGAGCTGCAGCCTCAAGAAGGGTTGGGTATCGTATCATGTGCAATTAATCGTCAGAAAACCATTAATTATTATTTGGCACTTGTTTTTTTATTGAAGTCATTTGACAAATATTGACTTATTTATGCAATAAAGTTTAACAGAATTCACAAACAACAAACTGTGAATTTCTGTCAGTCCAAATTTTATATTTTGGAATAAAGAGGTCAAAGTTTAAAAAAAAAGTTGGGGGGGGGGGTGTCCCGATTCATCGAAAAAAAACAAAAAACTCAAATAATTACTTGATTATTGTGGCAATCTTAAAATTGCAGCCCTAGTTTTATTTTAAGATTAAATGCTGGTATGAAAAAAGATAAATACCGCTCAACCCTAATGGACAACATCAAGCTGGTGGTACGTCTTTGTTCTCTAAATAATTCAACATAAGCTGAAACAAAAGCAAGACATCAAATCGGCCCCAGCAGCTCAGCCTGATAAAACCCCAAGTCTCTGGTTCCAGAACAGTGTTGCCAACTTAGTGACTTTGTCACTAGATCTAGCGACTTTTCAGACCCCTCTAGCTACTTTTTTCCCCAAAAAGGCGACTAGCGACAAATCTAGCGACTTTTCCCGGTGTTTTTAGAGACTTTTAGGAGCTTTGGCGACAGCATTTTCCAAGCACTTTTTTCCTTTCCTCCTCTGTTCCTCCGCAAGCAACGAGCGGCGCGGTGAGCCCCTCCCCCTTCCTAAAGCCGTCCGACTCACTGAAGCCTTGTGTGGCACCCCCAACCCCTACCCCCAACCTCAGCTGAAGTCAGCTGAGGAGAGACCACTGGAAATTAATCACGCATGCGCAAAGCTTCCACTGCTTCTGTCTAGTTTACAAAGTGGGATGTAATATTTAATGTAATGTTTTTTTCTCTGGTACTGTCTCTGTAAGCTAAATCTCTGGACCCAGCTGTGTTTGACTCACAGATCAGTCACTTCACCTCTTCCTCCCTGTGTCTCGTGACATCATCGAACTGTCTGCAGATTAAATGTAAAATTCCCACAAATTTAATTTATGTGAATCTAAGCATTAAATTTATAAAATTATTTTTATTTCATTAAGTTTAATTGCAGCTCTAAACATATTTAGTGTTTTTATTCACTTTTTCACTCTTTATCATCTCTCCTATAGCTCAGATCACAATTATTGGCAAACATCCAACTTTGCAAATTAGGTGATGATGTCATCTAGCAACTTCTAGCGACTTTTAGGACAGCCAATAGGGACTTTTCTTGCTCAGGAGTTGGCAACACTGTTCCAGAAATCAGACTGGAAGTGGACCACAACAGCAAATGCAAATATGCAGAACCAGGGCTTTAACTCGGGCCAAACTGGGCCTTGCAATGCACAACCTGCTGCGTCTCGTCGTTCACACAGAAGCTACTTGAAACAAATTTTCACACTCACGTCTTCGCTCTTGGACTTGTGCAGCACGTATCCTTTCTTCCACTGGCTGTCGGCGCCCTCGTTGGGCTTGCGGATGTTGAACTCCACCTTGGTGCGCTCCTTGTCCTGCATGGCCTTCCACTCGTCCAGGGTCATCTCTTTGGGGCCTTCGTTTTTCACCTCTTCCACCTCGTTTTCTCTGGAAAACATCAGAGCAAGGTGAGAAGGCCAACCTGAACCCGGGGTCGAGGTGTTTCTGCAGCACACATGCAGTAACGCAGTGTGTTGTGCAGACTCACACTCGAGAACACAGCGGTTAAAACCCCACCAGATGTGTTGTGTTTCTTTAGAAGACAGAAAGCTAATAATAAACCCACACGGCTGTAAAAAGAACAGCTTCTCACTTGTTCTCGGAGCTGGCAGGTGTGTTTTCCTCCCCCTCTGGGGTCGTCTCAGGAGCAGCCGTCTGTTCAACCTCGCTGCAGAAAGAAACAGGCAATCACTTCACATCTCATCCATCTTAACCACTACACCCAATATATTACGGATTAAACTCAGCTGTAAATATTAAAACTTTAAAAGTAAGTTTTGCGTTAGAAAGTAGAGAATCCGTGTCACCTCACTGTCCCAGTTCTTCAGTGAACTCACCTCACTTCCTCCTTCACGCTGCCCCAGTTGTGTGGACCAGCACCACTGCGCTTCTCCTCGTTTTTTGGGTTACTGAAAAGAGAAACAAAAAATCAGGTGATTTTTAAAACAAATGTGTATATTCTGACACTTCCTGGTCATAATTAAGTTTTTGAAGGAAAAACACAGAATAGATCAAAGTAAACTCATCATTTTTAGTTTTATGTTGTTGAAACGACACCTTGAGAACAGATTTAACTCCAACAATCATTAATACTGATCGGACAATTTTATTTTAGTTCTGGATGCTAAAAAAAACCCAAAATGAAACTTGCATCTGTCACCTTTTTTTAGAGTTTAAATACAGATACAGAGGAACTGACATGACGCCACCTGTCAATCAAGCTAAAAGGCTTGTCAGTAGGGCTGCAACTAACGATTATTTTAATAATCATTTAATCTGTCGATTATTTTTTCGATTAATCGGCCAAATCATTAAAACACTTAATAAATATGAGTAGATATAAATTCATTTAATTCCTGTATAAATTAGGGATGCAAGTTATGAATTAATAAATTAATCTGAAGTTGATTTATCTTATAGACTGACTAACAGTTAATTAATAAGCAGCCATTTTCTGAAAAACCAGAGTTTTCTATTGAATCAAGAGGGTCTTTTCATAAAATGAAGGATTTTTTAAAATAATGTGCTAAATAAAAAAAGAAGCACAT